TCATTGTGCAGGTGAAAAAAGATTAGTCAACATGTTCAGGATAACTGGAGTGGTTGGAAGACAGTCACTCAGCCTCAAATTATGAAAAAGATGTTAAAAGTAAAGGCTACCAAACCTATTAACTTCAAGGAAATTTCTCATAACTTCTAATTTATTTTTTTTTTAAACTAAACTATAGAGCTAGCTTTTGAGTTTACTTTCTTTAGTCAAAGGTAGGAGAAATTCAAAGTTTATAAAAGGAAATTTAAAAGTAGAAGCTGGAAAAATCAGAATGGAAATAATAATCCAGAACATATAGTCTCAATTTGAGTTCAACCGACCTATCCTTTTAAGAGAAATTGAGGGTTAGCCTAAAATAAGTGGAAGGCTGATCATGTGGGCATGGTTACTCAGATGTCTGTAGAATTGAATTCACACATCATATTGGAAAATATATATGCATAGTCATTCATTTTATCTTTTTTAATTACTTGTAATCAGTGGTTTTGGTTAACAGGTAATTAAAAATTTTGTTTACTTCATTCAGGAAGAGCATCGCCTTTTTTGCAAGGCAGAAAATAATTGAAGAAAGTTTAATCTTTTGTTCCTTTGCAAATTACAGATTATACCCTGTATAAAAAAAAAAAAAAGTCCTTCCCTTATTTTAGAGTGAATTGCTAACTTTTGCAATGTAGATTGTTTCCTCATTAATGTTTTTAAAAACTTTTGCAATCTAAATTAATGTTTGCTTATTCATTAAGCAGCCCTATTGACTGACTTTCGCATATATCTAATAAGCCTTCCGAAACAAATAGAGTATGCCGAAAAAAATCACCCCCTCCCCTATGGGAGGAGATTCCTCAGTTATCAGGATTAATTAGTTCTCTTGTTGTCACATGAAAAGAAGTTGCACCCCTCAATGTAGGTCAGTGTGAGGGTAGGCTGCTGATGGTCGCTTAGTGACAGGCACAATGATAAGTGAACGCGTCCTGTTGAGCCATGACCCTTCAGAAAAGACAGTGTCAAGTAAAATGCTCAGAGAAGGTACACAGAAGGCATAATCCGCTTCCAAATATTGACAGTAGGAATTTCCCTGCTATTCTCCTTCCTTTTTCTTTTCTGGTAAACATGTCAAACTCTATTGCGTTTGTACTCTGCATCAGTTTTGAAGCATTTAAAAACGTAAGGAAGCTAATGACCCATGAATAGATAGGATGTCAAATAAAGCTATTTTTCTTCGAGACTTAGCATCTTGCTGGTAAAAGCATTGTTTCACATATTTGTAAAAGCAACTATATTGGCTTGAAATAAGATCTTTTACTTCAGCTTTTTGTCAGTGAAAAACTAACTAAATGAATATATAACAAATCTGATATATCAGGCCAAATGCACTGATGTTAGGTCTTAAATATTAATATGATTAACTGCTGGAGTTAAGTGGCTAAAATGTACTTGAAATCAATGATGAAACTGGCTTATATCAATGGGAACAAAGTTAGACAAACACTCAGCGCTGCTTAAGATCCCATCCACAATATTTACAAATACTGCGGTGTCTTTGAGATATACATAATATGTGTAAAAGGGCAAATGCTTGAATATGTATCCAGTATATCCATGTTTCTTTTTTGCCTGCAGGATGGGGTGAAAAAAAAAATCTGGTTTGTTTTGGTTTTGTTTTCATTTGATTTTAATAACTCTGAGGCAGATGATCTGACATAAAGGCTTCCAGGCAATCTTGTTTTGTATGCTTAATTTAAGATAAATCTTGAGATTTTCATGTGGACATCTTTGCTTATATCACCATAGAGTTGTCAAGAGAAACGTTTGCAAAATTTATATTTTCTTGCCCTTCACCTTTGGCAGACTTTGAAAACAAGAGCAGCCCCCATTCCCAGGGCTGGTCTCCTCGTCTCAGCACGGGGCAGGTGTGGGCACGGTGCTGCATGGCCGGCTTTGCTCCTGGGCAGGGTGCTGGTGCCGGTGCTGAGCAAAGCTGAGCACTCAGCAGCGCAGTCATGAGCAGGCACTGCAGACTTGATCTTTCGCCTTGCTCTCAGTGCCTGTCACTCACCACCTTTCCACCACTTTCCATCAGTTTTACACTGGCAGCAGCCTACACATTGCTCTCCAGCAACCGGGCTGAGTGTTGCAACTTCAGAAGCCAGGCTTTGATCCTGATGGGTTCCTCTAGCAGACCATTACTGATGGGTTTTTTATACATATTGAACTGTTTGTAAACACCATTGCACGCTTCCAGCTTTTGTAGAGCCTGAAATAAGGCGCAGTTCAGGGAAGCTTGAGGCCAATTTGTTCCCTGAAGTAAGGAACTAAATTCGTAAAGCTGGACATAAACACTGCCTTCTTGGGAGAGCATCTGAGCCTCCAATTGTGGGATGACAAGAGGAATACAAATGAAATGCAGGAACATGGTAGTTTCATGAAACTGTCAGATTGTTTAGCGGGAGGACATTGACAAACCCTCTCAACCAAAGTGCCTGGGTTGCTCTTCAAGAAGCTGTCTAAGCTCTTGTAATGTCTTATCTCAATTTCTCAGTGTTTAGCTTCAGGAACATTATTTCAGAACATCAAATGAGTAGACTCATAGACTATAAGCATCTTCAGGAGACTATCCCATAAAAGCACAGTGTGGTCTTTGGGAAACACAGTATTTCAGAGTTGAGATCCATAAACGGTAGGTGAGAAAAATGTATGTTTGCAATGTATCACATAACCAACTGCTTCTTCAAAGTTTTACTGCATCTTTTTTCTCCCCTCTTAACAGCTGGCAGAATATATTCATTTCTAGTTAGAAGTATGATTGTCTAGACAAATAGCAGAGGAAATCTGTGTATTTGTACAGTATCACCATTCAAATTTCTGGTAATATTTGTGGTGCAGTTCAGAGGACCTCTTTATTCTGAAAACTTCTTATGCCCTTGCTTGAAGCCTGTTCAAGTGAGCTATAATTTAGTTTAAGTCTATGTTTAAGTGTACCCTTTAAATCTTGTTTTCAGTAGGGATGGATGATAGCATATACAGGAAAACCACTGGAGCCACAGTTTAAATAAGATATACAGGGCTAAAAAGAAAAATGCAGATCAATGTAACTAACTTAGATGCCAAAGGTTAGTCAAAAGTTAGTTAACCCCTACAGTGTACATTTCCTATATTGCTAAGGAAGAGAAACAGGTCTCTGAAGACCTCTAGCAAACAGTTTTGCAGACCTAATAAGCTATTTGCTACTTTTCATGGATTGTGCTAGGTAGTCCCAGAAGATGATTTAGACCTCTTGTCTCCACAGATGTTATAGGGAATCAGTAGGAAATACTTACTGACAAATGGAGCACAGCTGGCTCCTCAAAAAAACCCAAACCCAACCAAAAACCCAAAACCAGCAGGTGAGGGCAGTGCCTCTTTACCTTTAGCACAAAATCCTTGTACATTTAGCATCTGTCTCCAGAAGCGGAGACTTGGCTTCTAGGTCTTTCTCAGACTGAAGGAGTTCAAGTCCACATCTCAGAACAAAGTTTTGATATTCAGCCTCTAATCTGAGGCTGTTGGGTGAAAGCTGTTGAATTTGGAGCAGCTATTGACTTTGGAGAGTTTATACAGACAAAATTTAGTCACCAATCTCAGCCAGACTTGGTGTCCGAAAGTTCCTTCTATAGTCAACAAAAGAGGGAGGCCTTTCCAGTGGGTGATCAGCCAAATAAGGTTCACATATTTATGCTATGCTTGGTGCATACAGCTGTTTGTATTTGGCTGTGGCAGAGACCTCTTGGAAGGGCTTAAAATAGCTAAACTGAAACTGTACTTGACTGAGTTCTAGTGGAAAATCTGCGTTATCCATGTTTACGTGATGCTGCTTCTCTTGTGTGTTGACAAAGAAATACTTTCTCTTGCCGTAAAGGGATCTGGGGTACTCTCTGCTCCTCTCTCACAACACTGAAATCTTCACAAGTTGCACTTGGGTCCAAATTTAGACTTTAACTGGTTTTCAACTTTAACTGTTTCAAAATATTATCTTGTTGTGTTCCTAGCTTCTGGAACACTTTGCTGTCAGTGTGAGGGCAATGGGATGGATCAAGGACTGTTTCTTCTCAAAGGCATGCATTTCTGTCTGCTTGCCATGAAAGCTTTTGTGGCCACAGCCTATTATGGGGCAAAGATAAAATGTTACACCTTTCCAGCACTTGCTGGTTTGGTGAGGGGGAAGGTTCGGTGTTCCTCTAGTCTTCTGACTATGGGGCTTTTTCATGGGCTTCCTAAAAATTGCCTTTACATGGCCTGTGAGAAGCCTGCCTGGATGTTTTCAAGTGTCCTGAGCCACCTCACATTATGCTGACAGCCAGGGTTTCACCCATACCAGAATGGTCTGGCCGTGATGGGGACCATGTTGGCATACCTGCTTTCTCAAGCAGCAGATCTGGTCTGGAGACTGCCTTGATCTTGTTCTCAAAGTTTATTGTAGAGCTGTCCAGTTACCTTTTGACACCACTTCACTGGTAGGAAGCCTGCAGTGAGGGACAGTCGGTAACAGCACTGTGACCTTCAGTCAGGAAGGAAAGATCCTTCACCCCCTTTCACTCCTTCCAGAGCAGCTCCAGCTTTGCAGCAAGTTGTTTGAGTGAGAGTTCGGTATCTCAGAGGTCAGTATGTGGCTCTTGCCATGGAAGTGGCTGACTTTTGCCCTTCCCATCGAAGGGGCTGCCATGGTGGTGTTTCCTAAGGAAATGCAGCCAGTGGTGCTTGAGGGCATGCTTCCTTGGTTAGATGTGTAGCCACAAGGTCCTGAACTTTCTTTGTGGTATGCTCAGTGAACAATCTGAGAGCAAAGTCATTGACTGAAACTTGCATAGCTTTCATTTCTACTTTTTTTCATAAGTAATTCTTGTGGAAAATTATGTGAGCCCTGAGTCAGGACAGCAGGATTATGCTCAGAGCAAAAGAATATGTGTGCTAAGGGGGACATTCCCTTTTCTTGGCTTTTCCCTTCCAGTATAGCATCATAAACGTGAATGAACTGGGAACAGGATGATTTGTCATTGTTAATTTTTTTTTTCTTTGTTTTTCTAGGATCTAGTTCAGGATCAAAATTAAAAGTTCCTGAGCTGAGCACAAATGGCACACAGCACGTTGTTCAAGCAGGCCAGACTTTAAATCTCACCTGCAGGTAACTAGCTGAGTTGAATTCTGATAATTTGGCTGGGAGTTCATACACCTGACACTTTCTTTTTTTGTTACTGAAATTAGAAAAAAAAATGAAACCTTATGTTGTGGGGAAAGGTGGGGAGTGAACTTCAATGGCAATTGTTTAATAGTTCTTTGTTGTTTCTGTTGTTGTTTTTGGAAAACCAGATAAAAGAGAACCCCAGAAATAGCCTGATATAATAAAAAAGAAAGCTTGGGAACTGGAACTATATAATTGTGGCCCAACATAATTGTTTCTGCTTCCTTATCTGTATTTGCAGGGGGGAAATGGTTCATTCATGGTCTTTGCCTGAAACTCTAAGTAAGGATAGCAAAAGGCTGAAAGTAATTAAATATGCCTGTGGAAGGAATGGGAAGCAGTCCTGCAGCAGTCTGACCTTGAGCAGAACTCAAGCAAGTGACACTGGAAACTATAGCTGTAAATACCCAACAAGTCCAGCAAAAAAGAAGAAGGAATCTACAGTCTATGTATTTATTAATGGTAAGATTATGTTTTTTAACACTTCTTGGTATTTGCACCTTAATACAGCAAAATGGATAAATAAGGCAGTTCAGCTGTGCTTAAATACGGGATTTTGAACGATACTTTCAGCCTTGCAAAATGTCATGATAATTTAACAATTAATGTATAAAATCTGCTTTCTCAGAGCTTGCAAATACAAATGCTAGTGTTTTATCTGTTAGGAAAAAATGAAGAAAGAAGAAGACCCAATCCAACCAGTTTGCTGGAGTAAATAGAACTCCACATGGAAGTAGACTAGAAGTGAGTCTGTGAAATGGGTATCAGAGAAATCATATTTTACAAAATCGAATGATGACTTATTAAAACCATATATCTGGTACAATGTCCACTTTAACGTGTTTGTGTAAGATTATAGATTTCTAGGCACCTGAAAGATGCCGAAGCTGTCTATCCAGATCACTGAATTATCTCATGCTGTAGAAAAATACTATTTGCATGTTGTCACATTCAAAAATGTACTCTGTAGTCCATGTTACACAGATTGTACACATCTAGAATAAATGGAATCAAACTAAAGACAGAATTGTGTTCAGCAAACAAGTATTGTGTAATGTATGGGAAATGCTGGAATTAGGTCAGTTAGTCTATAACAGAAATTGCTTTCTGATCCTATTTTCTTCCAGGATATTAATCAAACGCTTCTCAGAACAGCTGAAATCAATAAACACAATAATAAAAGAAGAAAGTATACACACTTTAGGGATTTAATTTAATTTTATATTTTAGTTTTTCTTGATTTTTAAAGAATAAAATCAATAGATTACTGTTAAATATCAGGATTCACAGATTTTGAAAGCCCATATTACAGAGAATGTGCAACTGGAAGTTTTCCAAATTATGTGTCTGCTGCTTCTAACGAGTTCATATCAGAGTGAATTAGCCTTTGTTTTCATTTTGTGACACTAAGAGTGGGACCGATGCTGTGAAAAAGCAGAATGAAGTGGACGTGTTACTACAGTGACAGAAAATAAGATAGCTCCCCCCCATTATTGTGTGTTGCTTTATTGACAATTATTGAGTAATTTATTCTGTTCATCCTGCTTTCCTTCATCTGAAATATACCGCAGAGTGTTTTTCTCACCCAAATATTTTAATATAATTCACTAGATATCCAAGTACAGATGCATCCATGGAGGCATAACCAAAGTAGGTTATTCATTGTATGACCAACATTTCCTGCTGCCTAGGAAAACTTACAATTTTCTTAGATGACTTTTGCAAGTTTCTCAAAATGGGACCTACCTTGGATGTCATCTCTATCTGAGATTTACCCATAATCCTCTCCATTCACCACATGAGAAGAGCAAGGATAGTTGTGACTCTGACTGAGAAACCTCTCTGCTAAACCCACTTTACTATATAAGAGATTTCTTTATGTTCTCTTGGTCTCTTTCCTGTTTGAAGTGTTAATTTTTCTGGATACTGAATTTTTGCAAATAGAAGACACAATCAGTATTTCTAACTCTTCACTGCTTCCCAAATTGTATATAGCTTGCTTGCATCTGAAAGAGATCCTCAGTTAGATGTATGTATATCAAGGCTGTCCGCATAATTCACCATGGTGACAGAAGAGAAACATATCTTTGAAAAAATAGTTTTTGTACAGTCCCCCCACAATAATCAGTTAAGGAAGACTGCCCGAGTGTCTTGGGTTTGTTGATTTATTTTTTTTTTCTCCAAGGATGTTTAGTCATTAAATGTTGTTGTTGCTGTTGAAGATAGGATTAGACTACATTTCTCCTCCTACCTTACTTGCCAAAAACCAGTGAAATGTTTAAGGGACAAACCTGTATCAAGCTTAGACCTCTTTGGCATCTTATTTTTCTGAATTTTGCAATCCTTTTGATTGAAAACCAATTTCTTAACACTTAAGTGTTGATTGTGTCCTACTGATAATGAGGGAGGCTGCAAGGTAACTGCTCACTTAGTGCCTGCTGAAAGTGTCACTCTGCCCTAAGGTGGGGAAAGGTACATTAGTCCTCCAAAAATTTACAATTTCAGGAAGAATTGTTGAATAGGTTGAAAAGAAACAAGATACTGAGTACCAAAATTCACCTTTTCTGATCAGAGCAGTGCTAGCATTTGGAAAGAAAATACTAAAGGAATCTCTTAATATAAGTCATTGTTTCTGTGAACATGCATGAAATTCAGTTATCTGGCTCAGGTGGGGCTGAGATGGGGATAACAAAATCCTCTGTGAAGACTACCTTTCTTGAGTTTAATTTTATTTTAAATGAATTTGTGGGTGCTTAGGAAATAAACATTTGTAAAATTCGGATCCCTCCTAGTTTTGTATTGTTTCCTGTGGCAGGACGTTGTGTCAGTCCATTTCCCATATTAGCTCCATGTGGATCACAGAGGTGCCTGTTTCCCATGTCTTAGCATGCTGTAGATGAGAACAAATAGTTGCTATTTACAAACACAGATTCCGAATCAGGAAAGTTGATATTGTTTGTACAGGAAGTCATCACTTATTGTTTTAAAAATGTTATTCATTTCCGTAATTAGAGTGATACTGAATATGAACTGGATTAAAAAAAAAAAATCCCCAATAAACCCAGTAAGTCCTTTGGTTCAGTAATGGTGTGGAAGGAGATGAGCTTCTATAGACAAAAACAACATGCAAGACGATGAGAAGGAGACTGCACGTCCCACGTGCTCCAGGATGACTTGAAGCGTTTCTGAAGCCCTCTGTTTGGGGGATCAAGAACAGGCAGGCTGGTGACATTTCTTTGAGGAGCTAGTGCTGACACCACCCTTCTTTCAGCTGGAGAGGTCACTACTGAGTTGCACAGGGGAGTGAGTGTGCAGTGTGCGCCGCAGCAACTCTTGACCACACACAGCTCAGGAATTGAGACATCAAGCAAGGGAAATGAATTCTCTTAAGAGCCTTGGACTTTGCTCTAAGAAAACTGATGGCCTGACTTCCACCACAAGCCATGGGAAAAAATCTGAAATGAAGCAAAGACTCTTTGCCAATTTCTCCACTGTCTCGGACCAAAAGCTACTCTGATCTTTGTTTTGTTACGCAACTGCAGCCTAGTAGTAAGATGGAAAGATTTGTAATGAACATTTACAGCGTACATTGGAGTGAGGCATGGGGAATTTTCTGCTTGAAAAGCGATAATTATGGAATAAAGACATTTAAGAAACACCAAATTATCAGCAGGCTGTTTTGAAACCTATGTAGATTTCCCTGGGGGCAGTGCTAAAGGCTTTTCTTTCTGCCTGCCTTTGTTCTGGTATCTCCAAGACACTCTTTTCTAGTTGCTGGAGCTCGTTCACTTTCTTCAAAAATGTGCAGTTCTCTTCATTCTCTACTCTCATCATCTCTTGCCTTTGATCGATTGTTCCCATGGTATGACAGAGGAAAAACATTAAGTTAAATTACATTGATATATCAAGGTCAGATTTTTGCAAGAATTTAAACAAACTTGAATCAAGTTGAAGTGCTGTTACTGCCTGTGATGAAGACAGCTTTCAGCTATTAATATGCAAAACTAGTGTCTTAATTCTACTGCGACAGAGAATTCTTCTCTAAGCAAAGTTGTACTTGGCTTTAGGGTATTAGCCCATTTCTTAATCAATGTTCTCCCTCTCCTTCTCTCTCCTCACACTCCTGCTGTGCATGTCTTCCGACTGCATACTTTTCCTTGCAAAATGAGACACGTACTGGTACTTCAATCAAGCACCATTCAAAATATTCTGTTTTAAAATCAGACCTCTAGGCTGAGTCAGTTGTCTATTCTCTTTCTGCACTTAACAGAGAGAAAAAAGGATCTTCTGGTATGTATTTCTCATCATTGACTTTACAAGGAATCTGGAGAACAAGCTTAGAATAGATGTCTTGCTTTGAGATAGTTGAAGTCAGATGAGACAAATTAGAGCTGGGTAATTAAGTTACAAGTCCTGAGAGTACTTGTACTTGTACTCACCAATACATGGAATGTCAAACATGTCCAGTAGTTTTGGATATTGGGCTTGGGAGTTGTCTCAGGTTGGACAGTCCAAAATGAAAGGCTTCAGCATTAGTGAATCATTCAAAATGTAAGCCTTTGAAGTGCCAAAACCTCTGGAGGTTTGAGTGTATTTTCAAACTCTAGAGTTGTATTCTGCAAGAGCTGAGTGTACGGCATCTCCCTGGGAGGTCCACTTGTTGACAGATAGCTGGATCCAGCCCCAGAACTGACATAGATTTAACATTTAGCTTGAATGTATTGACTTCTGTAACCCCAAAGGTACTATGTTGCAGAACAGGGAGGGCATCAAAAGAGTTCCCGAAAGGATGTCTTAAGATCAGAAGCATCAAAGTCAGAATAATTCAACACGTGAAAAAAGCAGTAAGACAAAACACCCTGAAAGTTAGCAGAAAGGGAGCTTTTCTTAGTATATTTCCTTTTTCTTTTTATTCAGATATAATGTACTGACAGAAGAACCTGCTGAGGCCTGGCAAACTCTTCCTCCCCTGTGCCTTTTTTCTGTCTTTGCTTTTGGCACAGTTTTAACGTATGAGCAGTATGGTTTTGGTTTACACTGTCAGAGTCAATAATACGATAGCACTTCTGTTATGAAAAGGAAACTAGTTGAAATTAAACTATGCTACAGCTGTATCAAGTATGTGAACACATTTTTAGTGCCTAATGAGGTTCCTGTTACAAAACAGAGCCCTCTAGGACTTGCTGACGTCAATCACCTACAATTGCCGTGCTTTTGTCATTGCGTGTACATGGACTTCCCATTATAGCGCACTGTGAGTGGAGTGTGCGTGGACACCTTGGCAGCGTCAAAGGCCATGCACTAAGCCCTTCAAGGTCCTTCTTCCTCACCAAGTCTTATAGCTCCTACTGAAACAGAAATACATTTCCAAGACGAACCATCATGAGCGATGGATACATCTGTAAAAATGTTCCTAATGTCCATTAGCCTTTCTAGAGATTGCTTTCTGAACATAGTAAATGCTCTAGTGTGGATTTCTAGTGTGGGTGAGTATATTTTTCCTTAAGAGTTTTAATGGTGTTTTATTTGTCTACGTTGATGATAGCATAGTATAACTAGCCCCAAAGGAAAACAAACAAACAGACTAAAAATCACTGTAGATTTATGCTAGCAATGCTTTGTGTCTGAATGTGTTCCAGATATAAAGTATTCCCCTCCTTTTTATTTTTTTTTTCCCCTGGACTTCTGTTATTATTAATTTATATCTCAAGTCTTCCTTCAAGGTTTAGAAATAGTTTGAATTTGAAAAGTACTATTTTACAGGCTAAGAAGAGGCAAGAGTAGAAAAGCCCTTCTTTCAGATAAGTGCTATGCTTCCAGATGTACAAAATGGGATTTTTTTTTTCTTAAGGAACATAGATACTTACATGCGAGCAAGTTGAATAGGTGCCTTCCTAGGGCATGATTCATCTCATCGTAATTCAGATGTCTAAACCAGGTTGGATGAGTCCCATGGTAGAATTCCTCCTTTCTCCCCAGTGACAACACTAACAGTTTGGACACTTAGCTCAGTGAGAAATGTCTATATTTTAGATGTGTAAGTGAGATGAGAACCACTCTTGGTGTGCAAGGTTCTCCTGGAATTACTTCTGAACAGCCCTACTAATTTAGCCAGGATAAATAAAGTTAGTTAGGGTGAATCCCTACAATGGAAAGGGGAATTTGGCAATTCACTCATTAATTTTAATGAAACTTGCATGTCTATACTTTAGTAAAGACTTTCGTCCTCTTGATGTGGATGAGGGAAAAGAGTGTTATATGAATGTGAGGAAACTGTTTTGGGTCTTTTAGCCTGAAAAGAATACTAATGATGAGCCAAGTGTAAGTATTTTGGAAGAACTTCAGAGGACAAAGTTTCAGAGATTTCAAGGAGCTCAGACTTTCCTGCAGACTTTTCTTCTTGCAAATGTACGTGTAGGTACCCTAACTTACATAGCTCAGATTATTAAAAACAAAACAAATCCAAGAACAGTAGCTGAAGTTTGTGGCAATAAATCCATCGCTTCTGATTTTGGCATTTCAGTGTTGGCTAATTCAGTTGTTTGTGCAAACCCCATAAATAGCCTAGACAGGTTATTGATACCAGACATAATATTGCTTGTGTTAAGTCTCTTATCAAGTTTGTATCTGGCTGCCAACCAGCTTAATAGAAAGCTGCTATTTATGTTCTTTAACAATATAGCAAGTGACCTTCATGGATTTTGTGATTTCATGAATGCTCTTTGTGGTTTCGTGTTGATTATAACCAAGAGATATTGTAAGGACACAGTCATTAATTCTGGTCACAATTTAAAAATACACTAAACTGACTCTTAAAGTAACCTTTAGCATATGTGAATATTCTGGCTGTCCATCTTTCATTTTGCTACGCTTGCAGGCAGCTCTGAAGGGGGGCGGAGGGAAGGCAAAAATCCAAAAAACAAGGTCAACTCTCTTAGATCTTCCATTCCAAATCCCGATGGAGCTGAATGTGTAACTTTGACCTGTCTTGACATCCATCTATGATATTCCTTTTATGTCTAGAACTTTCTGAACATAAAAGTGAGTGAAGCTGGCCCAGAAGACTGCTGATGGGAGGTTAGGTCATCCCAGATGTGCTGCCAGCCAGCTGTTCAGAGAAGGATGGCATTTACTTCTCTTCAGGAAGGAATTGGGAGAAAATGTAGTAGAAGCCACTGGCAATAGCAAGGGCTATGGTGGGCGGGAAAGAGGGAAAAAAGAAGCAAGGAGTGCTATTATTTGGGGGACGGAAGGATTCCATGTCGTTGGCATAACCTGACAATGTGGCATAACCTGTCCTGGTGCTGCTGTGGGCTTGGCTTTGCCTGATAGAGCCTGGTAGAGTCTAGACCAGATTCTGGTCTTGAAGCACCAAGACTATCCCTTATGGCCATTAAGACGGAAGGAGAATAAAATCAAAGGCAATCAGGAAAAGCCTCCACACTCATTATGAAAACAAAACTGTGCTAGGAAACATGGTGCATATTTCTTTTAATCAAAAGCAGGAAGACATTTGGAGCACTTGGGGCCATCAATTGCCCTCCGGCCCATGGCGGAAGTCCCCGGTGATGTCAATGGGAGCTCTGCACGCGAATAGCGGGGGCACGGAGACGCCTTGGCGTACCACTGCAGGGAGCGTACCAAGAATGGCTGTCACTGAGCTTTAAAGCCTACCAAGAGCAGCCAAGGCGTTCGGTTGACTTTTATAGAACACTTCATTGATTTCTCCAGGCGCGAATGTGCATTTCCATTGAAGAAGTTAAAAAAAAAAAAAAAAAAAAAGCCAAGTGTGGTGTTTTGTGCTCGTTTCCTGTCCCTGCCTTTGGATGGGCAGAAATCCTGCGAAGCCTGAGCCTCACAGCCCCCACTGCCTCGATATTGGCATCGGTCAGTGGTGACACTGTGTCTGCAGACAGCACCGGTAGTCCCCAGAACAGCTCTTCCTCACACTTGTAATGATCTGGAGATTATGATACAGGAAACTACTTTGCAAAGCTTGCTGGTTTTGGGCAGGAGCTCTTAATTTTGTGACAAAGACGAACGAGTCTTTGGGGAATAGTAAATCCGTTTGTCTGGTGATGTTAAGGGGCAGGTGACCTCTTCTGTGGCTGCAGCCCCTGAAAAACAAAAAAGGTTCTTTTCACTGTGCTACAAACAGGTTCATTCTTGGTTTTTCCTTGACTTGTATTGCAGAGGAAACGTCAGCCTAACAAGTCCTTAGGGTATTTTTTATTACATACGCATCCTCTATTACTCATAAGTTCCTTTTGCGATCTTGGTGGACATTTAACACCTATTATTAAATAAAGCATTGTGTCAGTCTTTCATTTCAGAAAGTTTGTTTAACAGTTTCATTAAACCTTTTTAGGAAAACTTTTTCCATATCCTGGGGTACATACATACAAAGAGATACTCTACCTTAGAATTTTCCCCAGTATAAATTGGAGAAGAATTTGCTTCTCTTCCTGATTGAGGTCTTAAACAAAAATATTATTGCATATAAGAAAAGAAGATCCTAAGGGCAGAACAGTTTTATGACACTGGGAAGTGCAGATCATACTTTTGAAAGAGAAGCAGAAGTAATGCATTTGAAGAACTACTTGAGTAAACGTAGGTCAACATGCAGAAGTCTGGGACCAGAACACTTTACTAAAGTACTGCAATTTAAGGTTTTATAAAGGGTCAGTTCCTATTAGCTTTACTAATCTAACTGATTTTCCAAGAAAGATTTCCATTGTTATTTGCAAGATTTTTGACTGAGTGAAAAATAATAGGATTTGCCTGAAAAAACGTTGGAGCAGTAGATAAGCATGGAATTAAGATCTGAATGTTCCACTTTTTTAAGAGTTAAAAGCCAAACCTTATGTGAATTTTGAGGTAGTCTATCTGCACTGGGAGTCAAACTGAACCTTCAGATCTGAACACCTGCAAAGAAGATTTGGAGCCAGAGCCTGTGGCTTGAGCCCCTCTTTGTTAAGTGGCCCAAACAATAGCAGCAGCAATGTTCCCTGTTCCCAGCGCAAGCTATTTATGACAATGCCCTTTGTTAAAGGGATTGTTCAAGGGACGGTAAATTACTCTGCCAAGCTTTAGTTATTGAGTTGAACGGAATGAATGTTTTCCTGGCATTTTCATTTACCTTGTCACTTACAAAAGAGACATATAGGTATTGTGACAGTGGGAAGGAGGAGAATAATTAACTCTCGCTAGTCCGTATTCTCAGAGTTGAAAATGTGGCTGGATAATCACAGTAGATTCTTTCTCATGGTGAAGTCAACTTGAGTGTTTCCCATCCATGTCCTTGCAGAGAGCAGGAACATGTCCTGTGTAGGAGTTTCCTCATAAGTGAATTTCAGCTCACTTGCCATATAAGTACTTCTCCTGGTGATAATAAAATAGAAATGCCCTGAAATAAGAAACACATATCTCAGCAGTAGAGATGATGCTATAATGTGAAAAATGTATTATTTTAACTGTCCTGGATTTTAAAGGGAATACCAAAGTTCTGCTATTGATAATTGAGTAATAAATATATTTTCAAATATTTAATAATATTTTGCTGAACTTGTTTAGATAAAAGTAAACAGAAGATTGATTTGAGGACTTTGTCTAGCTTTTGTTAGGGACAGGGTTAGTCTGTTCTTTCAAGGCTGTATGTACCGTTACAGTTTCCATACACTGTCTTAAGATTTCAGATATTAACCTTTTCTTTTTCTTCTCTTGCAGATACAGGCAATCCATTTGTAGAGATGCACAGTGATATACCTAAAATAATACACATGACTGTGGGAAGAGAAATGATCATACCATGCAGAGTTACAGCACCAAACATTGCTGTTACTTTAAAAAAGGTACCTCAATCCAACATGCTTTGAAAGTGTTATTGTGGATGATGGGGGTTTTTTTGCTTGTTTACAACTATTGTAACGCTTTTGAAATATTTCAACAAGTTAGTATTTCTTAAACAAGGTTTCTGGGTGTCAGTGTGTTTAGAAATATTTTAACCCTGGAAGCTTCGTCTCATATCTCACAGAAGGACTTCATCAAATCTCTTTCTTACTCTACATGGGAATTTTCTGAAGAAACTTAAACTTTGCACATCATTGTATTAAATCTTCACTGACAAATGTTTCTTAAGCCCAGGAAGAAATTTCTTGTTAGGAGAAGAGATTTCCTTCTTTCCCTGCCCTTCCTCCTCTTTCCTCTTCTGTCCTCTGGAACAGCCGGTGAGTGTGGTCCCTGGAGACTGGTTGGGGCTGTACCAGGATCTCTGCAAGCCTTTGCCCTACCCCACTCCCACCCATGACTTTACTGCTTCCTTTTCCATATGAGTGC